ATGGATTTCCGTGTTGGCTTGTCAAATGATAATTTAGGAAAATTATGAATATAGAGGAAGGAGGGGAGCGGTGTCCTATGATTTGTGGTCGTTTTTCGATTTCCAGATTTCCCAGCGAATGATAGAATTAGTTTTTAGATAGATAGAATTTATTAATAAAAATTCTCCCGCTAGTTCACACTCTTAATCGCTCATTGGTGTCCCAGCCAACGGCCACTAATCAGTTTTTCTTGATTGGTGCTTTTTGGTGTTTCCCCACCAATGTGGGGAGTGTCATCCCCGAACGATCCAACGCGTTTCTTATCCGTTAGGAATTTGTTTTTGTTAATATTAAATTTTTTTTTTTTATTGGTAAGTCGTAAACTTGTCGGCGCCGACAAGGCTGTTTACCAAGGATTTTTTGATAATGAAACATATCTCGGGAGAACGATTGTTTATTTAGAGTTTTTTGTTTGATCGGGTTATTTTTGTTTGATCGTTCGAAGTCCCCGTTTATAGATTAGCAGCCGTTAAATTTTCCTTCCCGAAAGAGAAGAATTTGTGAAGTCCCCCGGACGTAACAGTTAATAGTTATTATAGTTATTATTTAATACAAAAAATATTTTGTAAAATCGGTAAATCTTTACATTACAGGGGACACAGCTCTGATGACTTTGACTTTGATATATGTTATAGAGGTGAGGGTACAATTTTTCCTCATAATGTAATTGGCGGTCTCGTATAATTTTTGAGATATATTTATATAAATATTAGATATTAAAATATATAAATTATATTAATATATAAATATTAAATATTAAATTTTTACATTAGAGGATAGCTCTGATAATCTTGATATATATTGACGTAGACATATATTGTCAAGGACACTCTCCTAGTAACAATCAAAAGGTTTTAACCAGTAGTTAATGTTTATTAAAAAGTTATATACGGAAAAAATTTGAAGAATATATTAATTTTTACCAGGTCAAAGAACTAATTTCCTATTGTATATGTAGATATAATATATATATAGGTGGGATGGAGTTTCGTCTTTCCCTCTATACCCTGCTCTAAAAACCAAACCCGAAAAGCTTGTTTCAGTTTGTACTAATAATTGTAAACATATAGATTTGAATTAAACTTTGTGCAGAAAGTTGTAAACTCATGTGGAATCTCACTTCGCATTGAAGTGTGCTTGGAGACAGTATGTTCCGCCCCCCCCTCCCCTCCTACGGGGGATCTCCACTACCGAAAGAACTAACCTAACCTAATCCAACCCGTATCACAGATGATAGTTAAAAAAAAAATAATAATTTAGTAATTTATCTTTATCATCGATAATGCTGAGAAACTCATGAAGACGCATGTTGACGATACAAACGACGCATAACTAATACCTAATAAATAAACTAATGTAAGCAGGAGATCCAGGTTCGGTTTCTAGCTGAGGATATTTTTCGCAAAATAATTGCGAATTTTTACGACTGATTCGTGGTCGGGCTCCGTCATGGCACACGCCCTCCCTTCTTATTCTCTTTTTATAAAACTATGATTACCAAGTGTAATTATAAAGATAATAAAATGGAGGCTTTGCTATATGCAAATCTAGTACCTGTTGAAGGAGTTAGGTGTCCTACTGGATTCCAAGCTTAGTTTTATAAAATTTGAGACATCTCTGCGAGATAGTTTACTATCCAGGTAAATGTAATTGTCCTCTCGAGTTTTTTAAACTTAACATAAAGACGTTTCTCAGGGATAAGAGTGACGTTGGAGAGTGTCACCGCTGCGGTCCGACCTGCAGTCATCGAGAGAATAGGACCTCTCGAAGGATGCAGGTCGGACATCTCTCTGGAGTAGCGGTCATGGGGATTTGAGAATATACATGTACAGTGTTTATGTAAAAACTCAAGTACATATCTTTGCATTAAAAATTCAAATATTATATTACAAAATTACGTCATCTTATTGATGTTCAAATAATATTAGGTGTACAAAAAAGTTCTGAGCTTTTTTTTGTAAAATTCAATCTTTATTCAAAAAGAAACAAAAAAATATTAATCAGCGAAATATTCCCCGTTTGCATCAACGATTTTTTGCCATCTTTTGCCGGGTAGCTTGCGAATTCCTTGATGATAGCTCACCGGCTTCGAAGCGATAAAGTTATCAATGCATTTTCGTATCTTTTCAAATCTCACGAAATGTATATCAGCCAAATG